CTCACTTTATCTCCCTTGGTAGAGTGCCATGGCGTCACACAGCTCACAGCAACCTCCAACTCCTGGGCTTAGGCGATTCTCTTGCCTCAGCCTCCCGAGTACCTGGGACTAGCCACAATGCCCGGCTATTTTTGTGTTGCAGTTTGGCCAGGGCTGGGTTTGAACCTGCCACCCTTGGTATATGGGGCTGGCGTCCTACCCACTGAGCCACAGGCGCCACCATATGAGATTAGTTTTTACAGCTTCCATGTACAAGTGAGATCATGTAGTATTTATCTTTCTGTGCCTGGTTTATTTTCCTTAATGTCCATGTTGCTTATCCATGTTGCTGTGAATAACAGAATTTCATTCTTTTTATAGCTGAAGAGTATTTCATTGTATGTACTACATTTTCTTATTCATTCACCTGTTGATGGACACTTAAGTTGATTCTGTATCTTGGCTACTTTTCTTTTGGAAATATACCTAGTAGTGGGATCTCTGGATCATACAGTAGTTCTACTTTTAGATTTTTAAGGAATCTCCATACTGTTTTCCATAATAGCTATACCAACTGACATTCCCATCAACAGTAAAAGATTCCCTTTCAGAGGGAGGGGTTGGGGGAACAAAGAGCAGAGAGCCGGAAGGAGGGGGGGGATTCTTGGTGTGTGACACACCTTTTGGGGGCAAGACACAATTATAAGAAGGACTTAACCTAACAATTGCAATCAGTGTAACCGGGTATCTTATACCCTCAGTGAATTCCCAATAAAAAAAAAAAAAGACCAAAATGAACCTTTTCCATATATAGTTGTTTAAACAACCAAAACAGAAGAAAAATAAAATACCATACAAAATAACATTAAAAAAAAAAGTTTCCCTTTCTCTTTATCCTTGCCAGCATTTGCTATCCTTTGTCTTTTTGATAACAGCCATTCTAAATGGGGTGAGAGGGTATCATGTGTGTGTATCTTTAAGAAAGGGTCTTACAGGTGGCACCTGTAGCTCAGTGGGTAGGGCGTCGGCCCCATATACCAAGGGTGGTGGGTTTAAACCCAGCCCCAGCCAAACTGCAACAAAAAAATAGCTGGGTGTTGCAGTGGGCACCTGTAGTACCAGCTACTCGGGAGGCTGAGGCAAGAGAATCGCCTAAGCCCAAGAGTTGGAGGTTGCTGTGAGCAGTGTGATGTCACAGCACTCTACCGAGGGCGATGAAGAGAGACACTGACTCTACAAAAAAAAAAAAAGAAAAAGAAAGGGTCTCACTCGGTTGCCCAGGCTAGATTGCAGTGGTGTCATCATAGTTCAATGGAACCTCAAATTCCTGGGCTCAGGGCCTGGTGAGGTGCCTCACGCCTGTAATCCTAGCACTCTGGGAGGCTGAGGCAGGTAGATTGCCTGAGCTCACAGGTTCGAGACAAGCTTGAGCAAGAGTGAGACTCTGTCTCCAAAAATAGCTGGGCAGGCTTGGCACCTGTAGCTCAGTGGCTAGGGCACCATGGAGCTGGTGGGTTGGAACTCAGCCTGGGCCTGACAAACAATAATGACAACTACAACAAAAAAATGGCCAGGCATGTGGTGGGCACCTGTAGTCCCAGCTACTAGGGAGGCTGAGGCAAGAGAATCACTTAAGTCCAAGAGTTTGAGGTTGCTGTGAGCTGTGACGGTACAGCATTCTACCCAGGGGACATAGTGAGACTCTGTCTCAAA